AGTTTCAAATTCAGCTAGATATGCATACTTTAGATGTGGTGGAAGTGGTTTAAGTTCAAGTTTTGGTGCCTTAACAGTGGAAGGGATTAAATGTGAACTCGATGGTTCTAAAGGCTCTAAAAGAGGTAAAATATTCAAAGGATACGGTGCCAATGCTTCCAAGGCAGCTACCTCTTCCATGAGTGCATCTTCTTCATCAAACTCATCTTGAGATTGACTCAAAACAGTTTGTAATGGTTCATTAGATTGTGCCTGCAAGAACTTAGAGAAGACAAGCGAATCAAGCACATCAATGGCATAACAATCAAGAGATGAAGAAGGATGTGAAAGAGACTCAAACACTTTGAATTGAACGGTCTCTCCTAGCACTGTCATAGTGAGGAGTCCATTTTGCACATCAATGATGGTCTTGGCCGTGGCCATAAACGGTCTCCCAAGCAAAATAGGCAATTCTCGGTCATGTATAGGAGCTTCTTCCATGTCCAACACTACAAAATCCGCAGGCAAGATTAGTTTATCAATTTGAACTAGAATATCCTCCACTATACCTCTTGGATATTTCACGGATCTGTCCGCAAGTTGTAATGAGATGGTGGTGGCTTTCAATTCCCCCAAATCTAGTTGAAGGTATACGGAATAAGGCATTAAGTTGATGCTAGCACCTAAGTCAAGCATCGCCTTCTCTACCTTCTTGTCTCCTATGGTGATGTTGATAGAAAAACTTCCTGGATCCTTGAGCTTTGGTGGAAGTTTTCTTTGCAACACGACACTTACATTCTCGGACACCACTACCTTCTCATGTGGTCCATACTTCCTTTTGTAGTTGTTTAACTCTTTGAAGAACTTCCCATAAGCTGGTATGTTCCTAATGACATCAAGCAAAGGTAAGTTAACATTTACTTTACTTAGAATATCAAAAATCTCCTTAAATGACTTATCCTGCTTGCTCTTGGCAAGTCTTCCAGGGAATGGTATTGGTGGAGTGTAAGGTTTCTCGACCTTGTGAAGATTTGGTGCTTCAAACGAGGGAGTAGCATGGCTTGGTTCCTCATTTGATTTCTCATTTTCTCCTTGAGTAACCCCTGCATTCACATGATCAGATTCATTAGTAACTTCATTGCCAACTCTATTATTGATAACCTTACCACTTTTAAGTGTAGTGATTGCTTTGGCTTGCTCTTGGTTCCTTTGGAGTATCACGGGTTGGCTTGGAAACTTTCCAACCTCTCTTTGGCTCAAGGCATCTGCAATCTGCCCCAATTGTGTCTCCATTTTGGTTAGAGCCGCCGAATGTTGTTGGAGAGTGCTATTGGTGGTTTGTTGGAATTGCAAGGTATTTTGGGCTAACAATTTAACCGTATCTTCAAGTGTAGGTTTTGGTTGGAAGTTTTGGAATTGATTGTTGTTCTTCCACGAAAGATTGGGATGATCTCTCCAACTTGGGTTATATGTATTGGAATACACATCATTCCTTGGCCTTTGATTGTAAGAATTCATGAGGTTCACTTGCTCTTGGACATACTCGGGGTAAGCCTCCTTAGATGGACATTGATGAGTAAGGTGGCTTGGTATGTTGCAAATGGCACACACTTCACTTGCTTTTGGCACCATGTTGAGCACGGATTCAAGCTTCTTTTCTAGGTTAGCTACCTGCAAAGAAAGATCATGATTAGAGCTTGTTTCATATACTCCAACTCTCTTACCCCTTACATCTTTGTGTTGAGCATTAGATCCCAACATCTCATAAATGTTATATGACTCTTGAGCATTCTTTTTCTTCAAAGCTCCACCTGCTGCATTATCAACAGTTGATTGACATGTTTGGGTTAGTCCATCATAGAAAATTTGCATTTGTAAGTGAAGAGGTAACCCATGGTGTGGACATTGCAACAAAAGGCCTTTAAAGCGCTCCCAACACTCATTGAAAGGTTCTCCATCATCTTGTTTGAAGTTGAAGATTTGTCCCCTTAATGTGGCTGTCTTTTGAGTGGAAAAGAACTTTTCCAAAAACTTCTTAGCCACGGCATCCCATGTGGTGAGTGAACCAGGTACTAGAGTCATCAACCAACCCTTGGCCCTATCTTTCAAGGTGTAAGGGAACACTCTCATCCTCAGATTTGCTTCACTTACTCCCTGTAAAGGTAAACCACTCACAACATTGTAAAATTCTTTAATATGAGCTAAATGATCTTCATTAGGTAAGCCATAAAAAGAAGGAAACATATGGAAATGTGAAGATTTAAGATCATAGTTTCTAGCTTCTGTGGGCAGCAAGATGCATGAAGGTGAATTTGGTATGATTGGTTGAGCAAAATCCTCCAAAGCTCGAAGATCATCTTGGTTGCCCACCATCTCTTCTTCTCTTTCCCAATTAAAGTGCTCAGATCCTTCACTTGTTGGACTAGACGGTTTCCCTTCCTCTTCTTCACGGACAATGGAGGAACTTGTTGGCACAAAGCTTTCCAAAGTGTTGTCCTTTAACCGTTCAATTCTTTGGCCTAATTCAACAAGTCTATTTGACATATACTACCTGAAACAAGATAAAACAAGTTTGAATAAAAATCAGAAATCTACTTAAAATGAAAAGAACAAGGTTTAATATCAAAACAAGCAATTATAAGGGACTGAAATCAGTCCCCGGCAACGGCGCCATTTTGATTGTTGTTTTCCTTCTTCATGCTTGAATATGTTTAGTATAATGGCACAAGTAAGGGTGTCGAATCCACAGGGACTAATTGGACCTATATAATCACTTGTTTTGCAAGAACTCTTTACTAGAGAAATAAAACTAATCAATGTAGGCAGATTTGTTGTTGTAACTTGAAAGCATAAGGAAATGAAGTAAACACAAAATGAATGAATCAACAGCTAATAAAATGAGATAGTACCAATGGAGATGAAGCTAGGGATTCGATTTTACCATTGCTAACCCAAGGCCATGCTTGTTGAATCAGATTATACTCATCCATCTACCTATTTCTTGAGTTTGTTTCACTTAGATATGATCAACCATATGATGTGTGGATTTGATCAAATGTCTCTAATCATGAGCCTAATTGTGATGTGCAACTTTGGTTCCTAATCAAGAATATATAGTGCACAAGAAACTTTCACAAAACCAAAGGGAACACTCGGCAGGATGTTTGCAAAACATTCCCTTCATTCATTCACATATCCACCAAGATTATGCATGATGTGTGCTTTAATCTTGGCTAAACAACCTGTGGTTAATTCAAATGATGATCAAGCATTAAAATCAACACACAAAGTCACAATTAAATCAGAGAATGAAACAAGAAATAGATGGATCAACTGAGCATTCTGAAATAACTACATGGCAATCTTGCAAGGCTACATCGAATCCCTAGAAAGAAATTAGTTACACTTCATGTTTACAGAATGTTTGATATAAAAATATACAACATGAATGAACATAGAATTAAGGAGAAAGAACCCTTGAAGCAAAACTGATGTTGAAATCCCTTAAGAGTTGCCTTCGGTGTTGGTGCTCCAAGTGTGTTGTAAATGAAGGTGGAGCGGCTAAGGTTGAATGGTTTCTGCGAATGGGAGAGTGTATGGAATGGAATGAAACCGAGAAGAGATTGTGTAGAAATGGAATGGGAGCTTGCGGCAAAGGGGAAGATTGGATGTGTTTGTGGTGTCTTGTGTATGAAAATGAGATGAGATTTTTGTGTATGAATGCATGGGTTTTTATAGGGGGAATGGGAGAATATGTGGGTGATTGTTTAAGAGTGAATGTGGTTGTTATGATTGAGAGTGCATGTGGATGAAATAATGATGGAAAAAGAGCTAGGTTGTTGGTGTGTGAATGCATGTGTTGAATTGGTGGTGCAATGATGAAAGAGTAAGTGCATGTGTGTGTGAATGGTGGTGCAATGATGAAAGAATAAGTGCATGTGTGTGTGAATGGTGGTAGCTAGGGTGAATTATGATGAATGCATGTGGAATAAAGATGGAGAAGGTGGTGTAATGATGAAGGAGTAAGTGCATGTGTGTGTGAATGGTGGTGCAATGATGAAAGAGTAAGTGCATGTGTGTGTGAATGGTGTTTCTTGATGGTTTTGGGGTTGTGATGTATGTGAATGCATGTGGCTAAGGGTTGTTGATTGGGCTAGAGGTTTTGCATGGCTCAAAGGATTGTTTGATTGGGCTAGGCCCTTTGTTTTATGTCCAAAGTGCATACAAAGCTTTCAAATTCGTCCAACACTTTGGCTCCAAGCATATGCTATCCATTCCAAGCCCAATTTTGCTCCAAAATGCTCCAAAATGCATCTTTTTGCTTCCTTAGCCATATGAACCTAAAAACACACGAAAATGGCTTAAACTACTAAAACAATTATGAATTAACAACATAGATGCACGAAAACAAGCTAAGTAAGTCGCCTAAATATGCTCCTATCAAGCTGCTCCATGCATCTTTCTCCAAAGTTTTGGTATTCATGATTTTCCTAGAAACTTGTAACTAGTTTAGTTGGTTTAACTAGTGGCCCATATTAGTGGCTTGTAGCTATTGTTTTTCTTTAGCTGTTAGTCTTGCTTGGCCTCTCTATAAAGAGCCCTCACTTGTAATTGTTATATACGAATGAATACACAAACAACCATTTTGAACTAGAAACATGGTAATCAAAGCAGGAACCATAATTGGCCTGCCTCTGATTGATTCTTTGCAGTAATCTTTCCTTTTGTTCATCCTTCAAAAAATGGTAGAAGGCAACCCTTTGGTTTCAGAGGCTATGAGTTCCTTTACATCAACTTCCAGCATCATTCATGGAGAGATCAATCCTAATCAAAGGCTGTGCTCCGTTTTGTTGAATGAATTCAACTATCTACCTTGGTCTCGAGTTGTCAGGCTTGCCCTAGGAAGAAGATCTAAGTTAGGGTACATCAATGGCAACATTAAACCTCTTGAAACTACCTCTACGTCTTACGATCCATGGTTGTGTAATGACCAACTGGTTATGTTATAGATGCTTAACTCCATGGAGCCCAAGTTGTCTGAGCATTTCAGTTACTCGAAATCCTCGTTTCAACACCTTGGAAGCTTGAAGAACATGTGGAACGAACTAGATTTGTACCGCCCACACATCACTAATTCCACTGTGCTTTTGAAGAGAGCTGATGAAGACAAGGTTTTCCAAATCTTGGCTAGTTTGGGACCAGAGTATGAAGATCTCCGCAGCCACCTTTTAATGACTCCTGAGCTACCATCTTTTGCAAGTGTGTGTCAAGCTGTGCAAAGAGAAAAAACCCGCAAGAAAGTGATGAATGTCAAAATCAAGACCAACTCAGATTGGAAGAGTACTTACTGCAATGGTGGTGCTCATTTAAGGGAGAAGTGTTGGATCCTACATCCTGAATTAAGACCTAAGTTTGAAAACAGGTCACCTAGATATGTAAGAGGTTTACTCAATCACTCACAAACTCATGCTCCAAAGGCCTATCATGCAACAAGCACATCTTCTGATGGACTGGTAAATTTCACCTCCAACCCTGTTGATTTAATAAATGAGTTTGCTGCTTATATACAAAGGAAGAAGGGAAGCAATGAGAGTGAGGACCAAGCCACTGGAAATCCACTGCTTTACTTAGGAAATTTGCTGGATTCTTGGCCAATTCAGAATGTGTACCACAAAAAGACATCTCAGGTATAAGAAGTGCATTTTCCACAACTCTAAATATAGGTCTTTCACATGATGTTTGGATTATAGACTCAAGTGTCACTGACCATATGACAAACAAAGCATCCAGTTTACATGAGTATACATAGTTATATAAACCTAGCCATATATTTGTGGCAAGTGGTAAGGGGGAGCCTATTCTAGGTAAAGGGAAGATAAACTTGATGAGTGATAGGGTCGAGTCACCTGCACTTTATGTTCCTTCTTTTCCTTTCCAGCTGTTGTCCGTTGGAAAGATCACAAAAACCTTAAATTCTCTTGCCATTTTCTCTCCTCACAATGTTGTTTTTCAGGACCGAGTCACCAAGAGGAAGATTGGTGAAGGATTCAATCTAAATAGTCTATACTAGCCGTCAAGGGATGTCAACGTTACTAGAGATAGGCAACCACCTACAAGGTTACAAGAGTATGTTGCTTATACTGCAAGGCATCCTATTTCTTAAGTTGTTACCTATAAAAATTTGTCTTCATCCCATGCATCTTTCCTTGGCCTGTTGTTTAATGAAACTGAACCTAAAAATTTTCAAGAAGCTAGTGTCGATCCAGTCTGGCAGGAAGCAATGCACGAAGAACTCAAGGCCTTGAATGATAATCACACATGGAGTGTTGTCAAGCTTCCCCAAGGGAAGAAAGCTATGGAAAGTAGGTGGATTTACAAGACTAAATTTCACTCTGATGGTGCAATTGAAAGGAACAAGGCCAGACTAGTGGCCAGAGGATTCACTCAAACATATGACATTGATTACAAGGATACATTTGCTCCAGTTGCCAAGATGAACACTGTGAGAGTTACTATCTGTGGCCTTTAATCATGAATGGCCCTTCTTCCAAATGGATGTGAAGAATGCCTTTCTTCATGGTGATCTCGAAGAAGAGGTATATATGAGATTACCACCAGGACATCCTCAAGAAAATAAACCTAATATGGTCTGCAGACTTCATAAAGCCATATATAGACTCAAGCAATCTCCTCGTACATGGTGCTCCAAATTGAGCTTACTTTTGGAAGTTGCAGGATTAAAAATAAGCCATGATGATTCTTCCTTATTTGTATGAATTGGTTCAGCTGGTAAACTCATAGTACTTATATATGTTGATGATTTGATCATTATAGGAGATAATGTTGATGAACTTAATGCTCTCAAGCAATCTCTTCACCAAAAATTTGGGATCAAAGACTTGGGAGTTCTCAAATATTTTCTTGGGATTGAGATGGCTACTTTTACTAAGGGTCTATTCTTAAATCAAAGAAAATATGTGTTCTATCTTCTTGATGAGGCAAAAATAATGGACTCGAAACCTGCTCGTACTCCTCTAGTCAGCAAGCTCAAGTTGGATGTTAAAGCAGAACCCCTAACTAATCTTAGCACCTATCAAAGATTAGTTAGGAAACTCATTTATCTTACTATTACGAGACCATACATTGCTTATGCAGTGAGTCTTATTAGTCCGTTCTTGCATTCTCCTACCTCACTTCACTGGGAAATTGTCAAAAGACTTCTTAGGTACCTCAAAGGCTCAGTGGGAAAGGGCATTCTCATGAAGAAAAATGGTTTAGGTCACATTATGGGCTATACCGATGTTGATTGGGCAGGTAATGCCCTTGATCGCAAATCTACCATAGGTTTTGGCACCTTTGTTGGGGGCAACCTTGTTACATGGAAGAGCAAGAAGCAAGCTGTGATAGCTAGGTCAAGTGCCGAAGCTAAGTACCGTGCGATGGCATCCACTGCTTGTGAGCTTATTTGGTTAAAGAGTCTCCTCGTAGACCTTGGTTTTTCAAGCACTCAATCGATGTATTTGCACTGTGATAACCAAGCTACCAACACATCGCATCGAATCCGGTGTTTCACGAAAGAACAAAACACATTGAACTGGATTGGCACTACATGCGTGCCCAAGTTCAAGCCAAAGTGATCGAAACCGTCTTCACTCGAAGCCATGATTACCTAGCGGATATTTTCACAAAAACCCTATAATCTACTCAGTTTCAAAGGTTGCTTTGCAAGCTTGGATCAATCAACCCCTTTGATCTAGCTTGAGGGGGCATGTTGAAAGAAGTCGTTAGTGGTCAAGGTACAAGTTGCATATGCAACTTTATGTACTCACATGTGAGTGGCAGCTGCCACTATGCATCCTTGTGTCACTTGGTGAATGGAATAAAGTTGCGCTTGCAGCTCCGTCCCTCCTATACTGTGTTGTAGCAGCTTCATGCATCTTTCCCCATAGTTTTAGTATTCATGATTTTCCTATAAGCTTGTATCTAGTTTAGTTGGTTTAACTAGTGGCCCATTTTAGTGCCTTGTAGCTGCTTTTTGTCTTTAGCTATTAGTCTTGCTCGACCTCTCTATAAAGAGCCTTCACTTGTAATTGTTATATATGAATGAATACACAAACAACCATTTTCAACTAGAAATCAACAATTAGAAAAGAATTCATGAACTTTCTTTGATGTAAAGTGAACCAACATAGAGACTCGACTAAAGTCCCTACATTTTGTCCTCTTTATTTAATACTTCTACACATACTAACTTGATATGTGACATCCCACATCGCCCAGGGGAGTGATCCTTATATGTATATTCCCATCCTTACCTAGCACGAGGCCTTTTGGGAGCTCACTAACTTCGGGTTCCATTGGAACTCTGAAGTTAAGCGAGTAGTGCGCGAGAGCATTCCCAGGATGGGTGACCTATTGGGAAGTTCTCGTGTGAGTTCCCAGAAACAAAACCATGAGGGCATGGTCGGGACCCAAAGTGGACAATATCGTGCTGCGATAGTGCAATGGGCCCGGGAAGTGATCCGCCCCGGGCTGGGATGTGACATGATATATATATTTTTTTTTTCGAATTTTTTTTTCCAGTAATAGTAGTGGTCGTGCAATGTTAGTTCCCTTAAGTTTTCAATCTAACCCATGTAATGAGCTTTAGGTCAATGACTCCCAAACCACAAGGTCATTAAGGTTCTAGGTGTAGAACAGCTCTAAGGACTTATTAACTTGAGTTGAAAAGGCTACGAAACCAACTAACCAACCTACCCCATGCCAAGACACTATCGTTTGACGCGAGAATCAATGTTGATCAGGCAGGACTGGCATGGTTACTGAGCAAAGTCTCTGGTGGAACAATTCTTACTCTTTTTATATTTTATTTTTTATGATATGAACTCAACTTTACTTTATTAAGAACAAAAATTAAAAATTAACATAGACCAAAAGTAAGTGTTCCAATCTTACTCCACACAAACCATGTTGATGTGAATGTGCAAATTTTCATTGTATAACTCATGAATTAGTGTCTAAGCAACAGTAAATAGAAAAGACTCTACTACTCCACCGTAACACGATATTTTCCGCTTTGGACCCCAACCACGCTCTCATGGTTTTGTTTCTAGGAACTCACACAAGAACTTCCTAGCGGGTCACCCATCTTGGGTTGCTCTTGCGCGAACTCGCTTAACTTCAAAGTTCCTACGAAACCCGAAGCCAGTGAGCTCCCAAAAGGCCTCATGCTAGGTAGAGATGGAAATATACATATAAGGCTTACACAATCCACTTCCCTGGGCGATGTGGGATGTCAAAATCCACCCCATTTAGGAGCCTGACGTCCTCGTCGGCACACTTCCAGCAAAGGATTGGCTCTAATACCAAATTGTCACATCCCGGCCCAGGCCCCGACCATTTGTTGGGCCAAACTCCACCGTAACACGATATTGTCCGCTTTGGGCCCCGACCACGCCCTCACGGTTTTGTTTCTAGGAACTCACATGAGAACTTCCCAATGTTTACCCATCCTGGGATTGCTCTCGCGCGACCTCGCTTAATTTCGGAGTTTCTATGAAATCCAAAGCCAGTGAACCCCCAAAAGGCCTCGTGCTAGGTAGAGATAGAAATATACATATAAGGCTTACAGGATCCACTCCCCTAGATGATGTGGGTTGTCACATTACAACAGGCATCATCTCATATGAATGGAGCGTCTTTCTTCATAGGTCGACTGAAAGGTTGACAGCGTCCGGCAAGGTTAGAGATGAAGCGCCTAATAAAGGCTAGCCATCCTTGTAGACTTTTCAGCTTGTGTAGATTCCTTGGCTCGGCATCCTTGGAATGGCCTTAATCTTCCATTGGTCCACTTCAGCGGGTTCATCTTGAGGTTGTAGTGCCATAGTTTGTTAAACACCATTCGTAAATCCTTCAAGTGATCGGATTTCTTCTTGGTCTTGACAACTACATCGTCTACATAACATTCTACATTTTTGCGTAGCATGTTGGTGAAGATCTTCTGCATTGCATGTTGATATGTAGCCCCAACTTTCTTCAAGCCAAAGAGCATTACCTTGTAGCAGTAGATACTTTTTTGTTAGTTCCTAGTTGTATCCAGAGGAGCCATCCATGAATGATAGTGCCTCATGGTCAGTGGTTGTGTCCACCATGATTTTGATGATTGGCAAACGAAAGTCATCTTTCGAGCAAGCATCGTTGAGGTTGCGAAAATCAACAGAAACACGTATTTGTCCAGATTTCGTAAGGACAATGACGATGTTGGAGATCCATTTAGGGTATTGCACCTCTCGTATGAAGCCTACTTCGATTAGCTTGATAATCGCGACCTTCATTTGTGGAATGAGCTCAGATTGATATCGTCTTTGAGTTTGCTTTATCGGTTGCGTTCTAGGCTTAACTACAAGATGATGCACGACAATGGTTGGGTCAAGGCCGGACATTTCCTTGTAGATCCAAGCAAAGACGTCCTTGTGCTCCAATAGTAGTTAGTAATACTCCTCGATCTTGTCCGTACTTAGCAGTGCACTTACGAAGATAGGCTTCAGCTCCTCGTTTTATGTCTAAGTTGAGCTCCTTGAGATTATCAATTGTGGCTTGCCCCCCCCATCCTCAAGTTGTGGTGGTGCAGCAGTGACGTCTTCCTCGGGGGTTTCATCCTTTTTATCTTCTTGGATCGTGATGTGGAAGACATCTTGGACTTCTTTTTCAGTGTCGTCCCATTGGGCTTATTGGCATAAAGATTGGTTAATGTGGACAATGGTGCGCCTTTTTAACTTTAGTTGCCTTTTTATGTTGACTTTCCGGGTTGCTTGGAACTTCATCCTTGAAGAAGTTGAGCTTCGAACATCGTCTTTTTCTGCTGAACTGTTTCTTCTTTCGGCGTTGTCTTCCTTTTTCTAGAAGGCTTCTTAGTTTCTTCAAGTCTTTCCAAAGCCGGTCGTTGCAGAGGAAAGCTAGCCATGTTGCTTTGCTTCTTAGGTTTTGACAACTTTTCAAAAATAGAGCTTTGGGGTGTTGGTGTGTTAAGCCTCTTGAAGATAGAGGTTCGGTCTTGACCACCAATGCATCAAGTGCCGAAATTCTGGGTTTTGAACGATTCAACCTATCGAAGACTGACGTTCGAGGGGTGGGTTTATGCTCCTATTGATTTTGTTCAACGCTCACGCTAATTTGTTGAGTGCTAGCATTTTTCGCTTTGCCTGAAATCTTCACAGATGTATTTGGTGTGACGCCAAGTCCAACTTTGTTGTTGTCAACTCCATAACCATGCTCCTTCAACTTCTTTTGAGTCTCGGTGAGGTTAAGATCTTTGTCGTTGATAGTGTTTGAAACCTTCTTTCCAAGATTTGAATGGGAGGCGAAGTCGTACCCAGCCTTTGACATGAGTTTGTAGATGTTTGGGTTAAAACCTTCTTCGGTTGTCTTGGTTAGAAAAGAGCTTGGTTCCGCCCCCTTTGGCAGGGGTTTTACAAAACCTTGTGGTGGTTTTGAAATTTTAGCATCGCCTAGCTGTGTTAGAAGTAAAATCGCATTTGTCTTGAGCAGCTTTACATCGTTCTTGTGTAGCTATGTGTCAGCTTTTCTTGTTCTAGTTTCGAATAGGGATTGCCCATTCTTTCTTCTTGACATAGGGATGTATTGGAAGATAGGTGTGTTTAATCATTTTGAGGGCATCACACTCCCTTTGATTGTTGTGGGCTTAGCAGGCTCATCATCATCTTTGCTTGAAGATGGCATGGTTTCCCATTCTTGCTTCTTAGGCACGGCTTGCCACTTTTGTTTTTTAGGAGCGGCTATGCCTGTAGATTTGATCTCTTTTGGAAGAGCTTCGGGCACCATGTAGAACTTGGCGTCCACGAAGTGTTATTTAGCTTCGGTGAATGGCTTGGTGTCGCCTTGTATCACCTTTACTTCTTCTCGATAGAAATTTAAGCATTGGTGAATGATGGATAACACTACTCCATTTTCGTGGATGTAAGGCCTTCCTAAGAGCAAGTTGTAGGAAGTTCTTGCATCAATCATGTGGAATAGCGTGCTTGATTTGAGTTCGCAAACGGTCATCTCGACTTGGATCATGCCTATCGCTCTTTGTCTTCCTTGGTTAAAGCTTGGATTAGAAGGCGGTTTTGGGGTAGTTCATCAACCTTGATGCCAATTGTGGTCATTATTGCCTTTGCCATGATGTTTATGGCCGATGCACCATCCACAAACTTGCGGTTGACTTTGTGCTCCCTTACATACCCAAAGATAAAGAGAGGACAGTTGTGAGGCTTTGATCCCAACAACAAGTCTTCATCGGTGAAGTAGATTGCATCATGGGCGGCACAACACATGGCATATTAATGTCATTAAAGCTTGAAGCCTTCATCCTTGCTTCATTTGGGCAATTGGAGTGCTTCCTTGATGCTCAAGTGTGTCAGCAAGCCTTCTTTGGGTGTGAGGGTCTTTCTTTGGGCGTGAGCGTTTTCTCTTCCTCGACAGTGATAGCTTTGCCTTTTGAGGGCTCTTCTATCTTTATTTCAACCATGTGACAGGCAGTGGTAATGCATTGTTGGAAGAAGTCCTTCAAGAAGTACTCGTACAAAGAGACAGGAATGCATGGCTCTTGCTCCATAGGTTCCCCAGTATACATTGG